GACATGTCCCCAGTGACTTCCAGTCATGCCCTACCTTCCTATAGTTACCACCCAGTAATCTGCTCAAATTATTAATCCACTGATGAGGTACAGGTCTCATCATCTAATCATTTCACTTCTGAACATCCCTGATTAGTCTATCACATGAGCTTTTTTTTTTTTTTGGTGGGGGGGTCACTTCATATCCAAACCATAATAGTTAGTCAGAAAAAGCAGACCTCAGCAGCTTCTTCCAGACTGCCCCCTCCCCTTGTCCCTTTCCCCAACCCCCAACCTAGGGCAGATTTTTCCATGGATACATTCTGTACTTCTAATTTCTCCCGAAATTCCCCTAAGGTTAGCATATTAAATGTTTTTATTTTGATTATCTGATAGCATAAAATAAACTCCAAGCCAAACCTTGCACAGTTGGTGAAATACAATTATTGGAGGGTAGATTATTATTATTATTATTATTTTTTTTTTTTTTGTGGGGCTGGGGATTGAACCCAGGGCCTTGTGCATGTGAGGCAAGCACTCTACCAACTGAGCTGTATTCCCTTCCCCTGGAGGGTCTATTATGTACTCATGATTTCATCTAAGGAACAATACCAGACATGTCAGAGCAAGTTTTTTTTTTTTTTTGGTACTGGGGATTGAACCCAGGAGTACTTTACCTCTGAGGCACATCTCCAGTCCTTTTTTTATTTTTTATTTTGAGATGGGGTCTCACTAAGCTGCTTAGAGCCTTGCTAAGTAGCTGAGGCTGGCTTTGAACTTGCAAACCTCCTGCCTCAGCCTCCACAGTCGCTGGGATTACAAGTGTGCACCACCACTACTGGCAGGAGCAAGTATTTTTAGATGGATAAACCAGAGTCTTGTGGTTACCGATTTATATTTGTCCCAGCATGGTGATTCCCACTGCTCCTCTTGTTTTCTACCTGGTCCCACAGACATCTCCTGACTACTCTCTACCCATCTCATCAAGCTTTCCTGAAGCAGCTGGAAATCTTGGATTTATCATTCCAATTTCAAAACAGCTCTTTGCCCTCAGGCATGTGTGTGTAGGTTAACTTTTTTTCCGTAATCAGTAAGATACAAGAGAATCAGTTCTTTCAGGGAGTTTTGTTCTTTCCACTACTTGCTTCACTTTCTTTAAAATGCTGTGAAATAAATTAGGTATAAATCATTCCTGGGGTTTTTAGTTACATAGCAGCTAAACCTTTCTCTCATTCAATTTTCTTCTCTCTTGGCGTTGTGCAGCATGGTGTCCCTGAAAATACCTATGGTCCAGGTTGGGTAACTGGGGAAACAAGTTACCAAAACTGGAGCATTTTAAGTAAGTATGTTTCTCAATGTTGCCTCCTTGTAATGATAATAGTATCCACTTATTGAGGGCTCATGTATCAGAAAGTGTGTAAGTAGTTTACACTGCATGGTCTCATCTATGGTTTGCAAGTGGACCTTAGCAGGGTTGTGTTCCCCCATGTTGCATCTGAATGAAGCTTGTCAAGAGTTCCCCACTGGCCACTGGAGCCAGGATTCTGCCAGCTGTCTTGCTCCTCTGGAGTCAGCAGCCCCAACCACTGTACTGCTGCCATCTCTAGATGGGCTAGTTTATTTCCCCCATCCCAACCTGCATGACCCTGAAGATGGAGGAAAGGCTGAGGACTCAGGTATCCACCTCAAAATCCTGCTCCCTCCTCTCCAAATTCCTCACACATATGGCCTGCTTGAGGGATGCTGCTTAATGCATGTTTACGATACTGGTTTGTGTGCATGACTCTCCTGCTTCATATTTTTATTTCTCTCTAACAGTGGAAAGACTGCTGGGAATAATCTGATGCACATGAAGAGAAAATGAGGAGTTTCTAATAAGATTAAATTACACTTAAGCACAGTTTTACTAGTGTGTGAAAGCACAGTACTAAACACTTGAGATGAGCAGACACAAGCCACAACCTTATAGAATTTACAACCTGGAGTAGAGAGGGAATGAGGAATAAGACTACACAGAAATACACACAAGTTCATGCCAAATATGGTAAGTTCCACGAGAAAGGAGGAAATGGAGCGCTGTAGGGCCAGGAAGCAGGAGCCCTCCCATTTCCCTGGGGAAACCACGAATGAGTCCATGTGGTAAAAGAGAAGTGATTGAGATGGAGAGTGGAGTGCCCCCACACTTTACTCTAGGCTGTCACTTGTACACTACGATGGCCTACAAAGTTTACAGGACCTCTGGAAAATAAAAATGCAGGACCCCCTTTTAAAAAAAATGAATTCCAAGATGAGGAGAGCAGGGCATTAAACCAAGTGTAGGACCCTTTCTCAGCACAGGCTGCCTGACCAGGGAGCGGACCCTGCTTCACACAAACAGCCCTGGCCTCCGCTTCCTCAATGCTTCCCTGTGCAAAGTAGGGAACCTGGTCTTGCTCTCACCATCATATTTCCAGTGCATAGCAAGAGGCCTGCTCCCCAGAGGAATCAGTGAGTGATTGGAGCTAGGAATGAACTGTTATAATTATACCTGATGATTCCGGAATGGCGTTTAGCATTAAAGTGTTATTAGGCCATTTTTGAACACTTCTTGGGAGAGATGTTTTGGATGAGTCTTGAAGGATAGTAGGAATTTTCTTTCTTCCTGTTTTCCCCTCTTCCTTTCCTTTCCTTCCTTCTAGTATTTTTCTCAAACACTCTAATGATAATGTTTTGCTTTACTATGAGAAATGTCATAGTTACACAACCTGGAACCACCAGAGGGATGACTTGAAGACTTTGGACTTCACATTCCTTGAGATAACTTCCCACTTACAGAGATGGCCTTGATTGTACATTCAATCTCCCCGGATAGAATCTGGATTTTTCATTTTAAAATGATTTCATTTTATTTTCATGAAACAATTTGATAGATGTTTATGAAAGGGAAAAATCAGAACAATAAAGATAAGCAAAAATAACTACTCACAAGTCCATGTGAAAAGTTCTAATGGGGTTGAATGAAACCAGTTTTCAAACTACTTTTTCATTCAATAGTTTATTTTGAGCATCTTTGTGTGCTGATAAGTGTCAATAGCCGGCATGGTGGTGTATGCCTGTAATTCCAGATACTGAAAAGGCTGAGGCAGGAGGCTTACATGAACCCAAGAATTCCTGCTTGACCTGGGCAACATGGTAAGACCCCCATCTCAAAAAAAAATGTGTCAAATATACTTTTTCATTTTTTTATGGCTGTATGGCATTTTGTCAAGTAGTTATACTGTTAGTTCTCTAACAAACACATTCTAATTGAACGTTTGGATTTTTTGAAAAAGATTTTTGTTTCTTTCTATTTTTTTCCTTTTACTATTCTACACAATGTTGCCCTGAATTTGCTGACTTTTAGTCTCTCTATTCTTATTTTCCACCTCACAATAATGATAGTATTTCTTCCTGGGGTTGTTCTGCCGTGTTAGTTAGTACACGTGAATCTCTTAGCACAAGCACAGTACAGTGCGTAGTAGACTAGATGTGCCCAATAAATATTTGCCGTTTTTACTTTATAGCCTAGAAAAAACTGTTTCACTTAAATCGTGCTGTAAGTTAATAGAAAATGGGAAGTGTTCTTTGCAAAGCAGGAGGATGCATGGGTTGGGGGAGGCAGGGGCTCAGGGTTCTATTGGCTTGTCTGGTTGCTTATAGAGTAAGTTCCCACATAGCTAGGAGTCATCTAATCTTTTTCATTTTTTGCTTTCATACCCGAGGACAGCAAGTGCTCAGCAAAGACTTGTCCACTGTTCCCTGACATCTAAGAACTTTTGCAGATGGGTTTCCCCTCAGCTTGTGCAGTCAGTAAGTCAACAGGTCACCCCACCACACACAATCTGTTAGTGGGAACATGCTGCAGCTGAAGAGTCTTGTCAAAGGCAGCCTGAGGGGTGACTGCCCTACTTAAAGGGACTTCCAGGGATGTGGAAAGTTTAGCATGGAGGAAGCAAGTTCCAGACCAGCTACTTGTTGGCTCTGTGACCTTGAGCAAGCAGTTTTTCTTCTCTGGTTCCCCTCTCTGTTTTCCTTTTCTATAATTCTGAAGGGAAATGGAGAAGGTCAATGGATGCCAAGCACAGTGATTAGTTCTGAACATAATCTAATACTCAGAGTGACCTTCCCTCCACTTGCACACCACCGTGTTTTATTTTATTCACTCTGCTTTCACATGGCAGATGATCTCTTTCTTTTGTCCCTCTTCCTCACTAAAATGGAAGCTTCCTAAGGATAGAGACCTTACCAGTCACCCCAGGGCTATATGTGAATATAGGAAAGCTCAGAGCCCAAGTTCAAATCCTGATTATATTGCTTGCTATATGACCCGGGGCAAGACATTTAAACATTCTTTAGTTTTTCTGCTTTGAAAATAGGGATTAGTAATGGGACTTCTCATATAAGGTTATAATGATCAAATGAGAAAATATCTAGGAAAAATTAAGTACCTTGGCTGGTACAAAGTGTAATAATGATAGCAACAAACATTGATGGAGCACGATGTGGAGGACCTAATGTAAATGCTTTACATCCTTAAACTATATTAATCTTCATTCTTTAAAATCGGAACTACTGTACCATTTTACAGATGAGCAAACTGGAGTCTAGGGGTAAAATAATTTATATGTAGTCAAAACACATTAGCTGTTATTTTATGACTAAGTTTCCTCCAGCTCCCTGAGGGCGATCCCTTTGAAAGACTGGAAGGGCCCAAAGTTGGCTCCGGACTGAAAGGGTTACTCGGTGCGAGCGAGCGTGCGCCTTATCAGCGGGGACCCGCGGGCCCGCGCAGGGCTCACAATGCCGCGGGCGGGGCGGCGGGCGCTACCTTGCCTCCCATTGGCGCACACGCCCCTTCCTGTCACGGCCGGGCCAGGCCACGCCCCCTGGGCGCTGCCAGAGTGGACGGTTCCAGAGGCATGCTAATGAGGGGCAGGGCGCCGCAGCCCATTGGCCAGCCGCGGAATGTCGGTGAAGTCAGCGCCGAGTCCCAGAAAAACAGAGCCGGGCCAACTGCAGCGTGTAGTGTGAGTGGGGCAGGACGCGAGCCGCCCGCCCGCCGGCGACCCGCAAGGTAAGCCTGCGCCGCTGGCCAGCCGGGCCGCGATCGCCCGCTCCGGGGCGGCGGAGAAGGGGGTGTGCGCCTGCCCGGCCCCCACGGGCGGCGCCTTTGTTCCGCGCTCCAAGGAGGTGCTTTTTAAAGGGCCAGCTGTTGGAGGGACTTGGGGGATCCCCCTCCTCCAGAACATCCTCCCCTGGTCACGGGGACTGCTGTGGTCCCCTGCGACCAAACGGTCTGTCATGCTTGCTCGGTAGATCTCCAGTCCTTTACGGAAAGTTCCCTAGCATGCAGGGGACCTGGGGCATTCCAGGTTTCTTTCTTCTTTTTTTTGGTGGGTAGGGGGAAGTGCGATCATGGCCACTGCCAGAAGAGAATGTCCTCCCGCCTCGGGCTGGGCTGCAACATGGGTGGGTGGAGGAGACTTGAAAGCCCCGGTGGGTTTGTGTTGTAAAGTGAAACTACCGAAGGGCTCCTCTGCAGCAGCCAGAGGAAGGAGGAGGGAGCGAGCGGCAGGATGGAGGCATCTCAGGTGTGTTCATTCATCAGCATCCCCTCGAGCAGAGGACGGCCTGAGGGGCGCAAGGAAAAGGCGTCTGGCCCGAGCCCGCCTGAACCGGCGGTCGGTGTGTGTGTGTGTGTGTGTGTGTGTGTATGCGTGTATGCGCGAGTGTGCGCGTGCGGGGACTCCGTGCCTGCCCATCCCTCCCATGCTCCTTCATCTCCCGGAGTGGCTGACAGCATCTTGCTAGGCATCTCATCACTGAGAAGGACGGGAAGAAATCCCTTTCTCTGAATTCCCGGGGCATTCCCACCTTGCTTCTTTCAGACCTGGCTTCCTTGATGAGCGGTAGTGACATTCAAGACAGAATGGAAAAGAGGCATAAAGTCATTATGTTCCTTTCATGGGGGAATGTACTGTCGAATTCTGCATCCCCGCGCCTCCGCTGTCGTAAGATGGCTTTGAAATTCACCAGTGCACGCTTTCTTCGAGCAGACAGAATTTATTACGCTATTACATGGCTACATAAAAGCAGAAGGGATCCCACTGAGCGTGGCTCATTTTATCCAGTCCCTCGGTTTTCCCAGCATGTTCTGGCTAAGGCTTTGGATTTTTGTGTTAAACACTGAGTGCTGGGATGCTCCTGTTGTCATAGGGCCGACCCGCTGAAATTGCTCGAATTGATTTCACTGTCAGTAGGAGGGAGGTTCATTTAGAGACTCATGGAACCTTTCTAGCATATCTGGCCTCTGACTCCATCTCCCTACCCCATCCCTGAGTGCCCTCCCCCCCCCCTTTTTTTAGGTGAAGACTAGGAATGTCTTGTCTGTCTCCACTCTCCTTGTGTTTTGGGCTCTATTTAGATTCAATTCTGTGGCTGGAAAGGAAGCTTGGTGGTGATTGAAGGGGGTGGTAGATTAAAAGTGGGGTGGACAGCAGAGGGGGATGGCATCATTAATAATAGAAAACATAAGGTATATGTTTGGAGACTACATAGCTTCAGACTATAGAGACTCATAAGGTAGATGACTGTGAGTGTGTGTGCTGTGAGGGGGAGGGGTGAAGTAGGAGGATGCTAACAGCATTTATCTGCCCCACCCTCTTGATGCTGCCTTAAATAGCTCCTTGCCAGCTGAGCCCTGAGGTCTCCTTCTTGGCCTGAGGGGAAAGGAAGGAATAGCTGGTCTGTTGTCTTCTCTGCCCTGGGCACTGTTGGAGTAGATGCTTAGGAAAAGGTTAGTTTTCCGGAGAGCACTTTACTCAGCTGAAGGACCCTGTGATAACTGGTTCTGGTGATTTCCCACCAGGGAATTAGAATGACTGAAATGAAGTGCTCTCTCCCTAGTGGGGTGAAGATGTGGGAGGGCATTGTCATCTTCCATACAACGCCCATCCTCCTCTTACCTGCTTTCATTTGTGGCAGTTGGAGAGTGTATGTAAACTTTTAAAAGAGCTTGCTAATATTGGGGGTGGGTTGGAGTTTGGGAAAGGATGAACAAATGTTTCTTGCAGAACAAAGAACTGTTCAGCTCTCTCCTCTTTCTCCTCTCCAAAATAGAGTTCAATACAGATAGCAGAGTCTGGGTTTTCTTTGCAGAGAATGAAAAGGCAGGCACAGGAAAGAAAGCTTCTATTGTGTAGGGTTGGTAATCATTTGGTCATCCCAACTTAGCTCTGGACCCTTCCCTGGATGTGGAAGTAGATTTGCTGTAGAGGGCACTCATTAGTAATTTAGGATTTAACCTGCCTGTGGGAAAAAGGAATGAATGGTCTCAAAAAGCTGGTGGAGCTCTGGACCAGAGGTAGGACAGTTGGCTTTGGTCTTGGCCATCCATCTTCTTTGGACTTTGGGCTAGTAGTTTCTGCTTCCTAGATCAGTGTCCTTGTTGATTAAGTAGAGGACTTTAGAACAAACAATTTTCCAGGGTTCCTGATAGCATTACTCTCCTTAGATTCACAAGTACAGTTTGTGATGGCATTTTTAGATTCCTTCTTTTTTGCTAACCCGATGCTAAATTCACAGTATTGAGCAATGGCTTGGAAGAAGCATTCTAGGACACAGGCCACTGTTGGATTCAGATTCACCTTTTCCTTGCTTAGTGTGAGTTGTGAGGTTTACTGTATGTAAATAATTCAGAGCCAGAACGGCCCAGAGTCATAGACCTCAGCATGGGAGATTGTCTGGGGAAGGTGAAGGTAGGATAACAGATTGTGAAGGAAAGGGAGTTTCTTTCCTTTTTAAAAATTTGTTAACATATATTAATTGTACAAATTAGTAGATTTCACTGTGACATTTCCATGCACACAATATTGTCTCTTGATCATGTCCACCCTCTCTTCTACCCTCCCCTCTCTCCCCTTCCCCCTATCCCCTTCCCTTTTCCTAATAGTCTCTCTTTGCTTTTGGATTTTTTTTTTTTTTTAACATGGGATACTTTTAATTCTGTGTCTTACTTATTTTGCTTAACATAATGTTCTTTATCCATTTGTTTTCAAATGGATGACATGACTTCCTTCATCTTTATGGCTAAGTAACACTCCATTGTTATGCATACCATATTTTCTTTATTCATTCATCTGTCAGTGAGCACCTAAGCTGATTCCATACCTTAGTTATGGGGAGCAATGCTGCAATAAATATGGGCATGTTTTGTGTGCTGACTTCATTTCCTTTGGATATATACCCAGAAATGGTACAGCTGATTGAATGGTAGTTATATTTTTAATTTTTTGAGGAATCCCTATGCTATTTTCCATCATGTCTGTACTAATTTACATTCTCACCAATAGTGTGCAAGGGTTGTTTTTCTTCCATATCATCACCAGCATTTGCTGTTTTTTAATTTTTTTTTTTTTTGGTAATAGCCATTCTAATTGAGGTAAGGTAGAATCCTGAAGTAATTTTTGATTTGCATTTTCCTGATTTGAGCATTTTTCCATGTATTTATTGGCCATTTGTACTTCTTTTGGGAAATGTCTATTCAAACTTTTTTTTTATTGGATTATTTGTTCTTTTGTTCTTTGAGTTTATCATATATTCTGGATATTATTCCTCTGTCAGATGAGTAAGTAGCAAAGATTTTCTCCCATCCTGTGGGTTGTCTTTTCACTGTTGATTGTTTCCTTTACAGTGCAGAAGCTTTTTAATTTAATGTAATCCTGTTTGTCAATTCTTGCTTTTATTACCTAAGCTATTAGGGTCCTATTCGGGAAATCATTGCTTCTGACAATATCTTGGTATGTTTCCCCTATGTTTTCTTCTAGTAGTTTCAAAGTTTCAGGTCTTACATTAAGGTCTTTGATCCATTTTGAGTTGACTTTTATACAAGGGAGATAGAGGTTTAGTTTCAATCTTTTGCATATGGATATTCAGTTTTCTCAGCACCCTTTGTTTAAGAGGCTTTCCTTCAATGTATGTTATTGTGATCTTTGTTGAGAACCAACTGTAGATACGTGGATTTATTTCTGGGTCCTCTGTTCTCTTCCATTGGTCTACAAGTGTGTTTTTATGCCAATACCAGGTTCTTGTTACTATGGCTCTGTAGTACGCTTTGAAATCAAGTATTGTGCCTCCAGCACTTCTCTTTATGCTCAGGATAGCTTTGGCTGTTCAGGGTCTTTTGTATTTCCATATGAATTTTAGGATTGTTTCTTCTAGTTCTGTGAGGAAAGTCATTGGTATTTTAGTGGGGGTTGCATTTAATCTGTAGATCACTTTAGGTAGAATAGCCATCTCAACTATATTAACTTTCCCCATCCCTGAATTTGGGAAATCTTTCCTCCTTCTGGCCCTGTCTTCAATTTCTTTCTTTTTGTGTTGTTCTTTTCTTTTTTTTCTTATTTTTATTTTTAGATATCGATGAACCTTTTTTATTCATTTATTTATATGTAGTGCCAAGGATCAAACCCAGTGCTGCACACATGCTAGGCAAGTGCTCTGCCACTGAGCCACAACTCCAGCCCCTGTGTTGTTATTTTTATTGTAGAGGTTTTTCGTCTACTTAGTTAGGTTTGTTGTTAGGTATTTATTTATTTACTTTTGGAGGCTATTGTAAATGGGAGTGTTAGGAAAGGGAATGTGTTTAATTCATTCTCTCCCATACGATCAGCTGTACCATTTCTGGGTATGTATCCAAAGGAAGTGAAGTCAGCACACAAAACATGCCCATGTATGTTGAATTCACTATTTTATTTCTGATTTCACAGGTGAACAAACATTCAGACATTAAGGATATGGGAGTTGGAAGAGACCTCTGTGATTGACCCATTTAGCCCCCCTCTAAGGACTTTGAGAAATTGGAAGGCTTGGCTATTGGTCTAAAGTCACTCAGCTGGCGAGATACAGATCTGGAGTAGGAACCCAGGGGTGTAGGTTCTTGGTCCCCTATTCTAGATATATCTGTTAATCCCTCTCCTCCTCTGAGAGAGAGGAGTCTACGAAGGGGAGGGGGAAAAGTGAGGAGGAAGTAGGAACCCAGGAAGAAGGGGGAGGCCGGAGGAGAAACAGACAAGA